TCTAATCCAGTTGAAGGATGTAGTCAGATAAATTGACGATGGTTTTTCCCATGGTGGTACCAGGCCAGACTTGGTGATGCCAAGTTTCTCCAGTTTCTTGTTTTTAGTGTGCATGTAGGTGTTGTAATTCTGTTGCCTCATCTGTTTGGCATTGTCTTGTAACTGTACTGCTGTATCTTGAGTGCAAGCTGAGAGTATGAACTCTATCTCGATTTCAAGATTATGGAGCTTGCTGTCAAGTTGATGTACGAGATGATTGAGGAGTTTGTGAGAGGTGTGACGGCAAAGTCTCTCAGCATAGTGCTGTAGGTCGACTTGAATGGGTTCGTGATCTGTAGTCCTTTGGGATCTTTTGGGCTTTCTTGCATTTCTGTAGAAACTTGATGTCTGTGTCTTATAAATTATAAATTCCTACTTAAATAAAACCAGTCTGACTCCAGACAAAACACAAACAGAATCTAAACAAGGCCTCACACCTAACATGCATCGTCTGACCTAAAATGTCACCTCTTCTCTACACTGATAAAACCTTCAAGTTTCTCTGTCCTGAGAAAATTGAAAGAAATTTGGGGTTTACATGTACATATTAATCAATTAAAACCTTCTAAGTGATTAAAGATTTAACAGCATCTTGGGTTTGTTTTAATACTTCCTCATCAGTTGTATGACCCTTTAATCTTTTACTTATTCTGTGTTCTGTGTGCTTCTTTCTCCCTTCACCTGTCAAAGGAGCTATGCTCTGAAAGCTTGTGTTTTGGACCATAACCTAATGTCGTGTGATTTCTGACTTGATAGGCTGAATAACAAGTCATTGCGGGTGATCGAAAGTGTCAAACGGTGTGAATAAACACCCGAGTAGCAAGTGAACCTATGAACTGATTAATTATGGCAAAACCAAAAATAAAATTCTGGTAGAGACACACCAAATGTCTGGAATAACATGATAGGTATCAGAGTCACATGAGTCTAACCAAAGTAATAAGTAATCTAAAACTGTACAAAGTAAGGTAGAGAGATAATAACAAGATGATGTCAAAACAGAACATTAAGCAAGATTTTACAAACACAGAACAGTCTGATGGGTTACATGTAGGGCGACATGAACCCAAGATCACATTTGAGGCCACCCTCATGTACGGAACTTGGCTATCAGATTCTACTCAGCGATTCTGCGCTGTTGTGTATCTTGAAGGCTGCCTTGGGGATGCTTACCTGAAGATCGGAGGCTAAATGTCCTTGTCCACTGAAGTGTTCCCGATTGGGTGGGAACACTCCTGCCTCGTGCTTGTTACGTGGTGTCCATTCATCCATTGTTGTAGCATTGACGGTCTATTGGGGGACAGTTCAGCATGTTTAGCACTTCACTGTATGTCCTTGACCACTGAAGTGCTTCCCCGTATCCGTGAAGATGGTCTCAGCAGTGATCTTTGTCCATCCAGTCCAACACCAGCACCTCCATACCTAATGCCTTAATCATACACTCATTTCAAGGGCAATTAGAGATGGGCAACAAAATTTGGTCATGTCATTGATGCCCACATTTAATGAATGTGTTTTTTTTAAGAAGCTTTACAGGGCAAAGGTGTTGTGTGTAATGTCACTAATTGTCCTTGAAAAGGTGGTGGTGAGCTGGCTAGGGGTGTGGAAAGTCTGATGCGCAAGTCCTCAGTACTATTCCCAGAATGCTGTCAGGGCCCACAGCATTTGCAGCATTCATATCTCCAATCGTTTCTTGCTGTCACGTGGAGTGAATCAAATTGGCTGAAGACTGGTATATGTGATACTGGGCACCACTACAGGAGACTGAGATGGATCATCCACTAGGAACCGTCTGACTGTAGATTGCTGTGAATGCTTCAGCCCTTACTTTCTCACTGATCCATCATTGAGGATAGAGATTTTTATGAAGCCCCCTCCTCCGGTAAATTATTTAAATGTCAACCACCATTCACGACTCAATGTGGTTGGACTCAGATTAGATCTGATCCGTTGGTTGTCGGTTTGATTAGCTTCTTCTATCATTTGCTGCTTATGCTGTTTAGCATGCAAGTAGTCCTGTAGCTTCACCAGGTTGGCGCCTCATTTTTTAGGCATGCTTGGTGCAGTTCCTGACATGCCCTTCAGCATTCTCCATTGAACTGTGGTTGATCCCCTGGCTTGATTGTAATGGTAGAGTGATGGATATGCTATAAGTGTGGAACGGCAGTGGGGCAAGAACCTATCACAACTTGTTCCCATTTACCTTCCAATTAGTAATCTCCCCACCAAAGTTTTAAGTCTTAGCTGGAGTTATGAACATAAGGGGTTGAAGGAGTCTTTTCAGAGATAAGCACTATAACTTATATCTTCCTCAAAGTGTATGAAAAGACTATTGAACTCTGACTTGGTATTCAGATAACGGGTCATCGAGTTAAAATGCTAGTCGATCAGACATGTATGGATTGAAGTTCTTAAATTTACAGATGTGAGATTCTGTTTACCATGCAATGTCACCCGTGCAACCTGTGTGCCCTCAGAAACAGTTGCATTTTCCTGCCCTCTCATTATGTCAAGACGCAGTCTCAGGATTTGCAGCTGGGGTGGAGGGAACCTGCTCTGTAGTGGAAGCTGTTGAGCTAAATGATTTAGACAGCTTATCCCTGGGGTGTTTGTCATTAGAGAGCCCAGACATGCCAAGATGTTTTGTTCAGATGAAATCTCATCTCCCTGGCTGCAACTTCCACAAGGTTGGGATTGTAGGCAGGGTGAAGGTAGAGTGGCCTGGCACTTTTGGAGCACCCTGAGAGTGAATTTCCAGGATGCCTGTGTGTAGTTCCCCCTTCATCTAAGAGACGTCACCATGTCTCCTTGAAGAAGGGGCTCCTGAAATGACATTGAGTTTTCTTGTTCCTCTGTTGCCTTGCTGCTGAATCCAAGCACCAACAGCTAAAGCAATGGATTTTGGGTCTGTATGCATTTTTGAGCATTATGCTGAACCTGACTTTCCATGCCGGCTGTCAGTCAGAATGCCAGGGCCAGAATGGTACAGATAACAGTGGTTAACAGCTGCAATTTTCAAACCAGTTTATTGAGTGCCTCCACAAACCTGCCTGTTGATCATGTGACTGTCTGAGCATTGACACAAAGTTGTTAATGATGACGTCATGAGGTCATCTTCTTGGGGCTAATTAGCTGTCTGGCCTCTAACAATCTGCTGAGTGCCAGTGGCCTGGGACATTTGTTCCTCAACAAAGCTGCAGAGATGTGCTAGCAATGTGCTCCCCAGATTATGGCCCTAAATCTAATCTAGGTAAAGTACACCAAGATGAAAGTGTCTGAGCTGGTGGAGGGTGCAGAAGAAAGCCTTGATGGTGCATCCTTTGAAGGATAATGGGGAAAAAGTGAAGTGCAGAACACTGAATCTTACTTGATTGTGTTGACATGGAGGTCATGGCATCTCCCATTGAGCATTCTCGATCCTCTCCCACTTGTTCGAGGATCTTATTGGGGGTTGAAGAGATGAATGTTAACTACCTGTCTTTGCCTTTTGTGACCTAATATGAAAAGTTTTCTCCTGTACTGGGACAAACAGAGGGATTGAGTGAATGAAAGTGCTTGAAGAGCTATTGGTGGCAGTGCAGGAACAGGAACTGGAGTGAAGTATGCAAAGTGAATGAGTAGATGCTCAATGTGTAGGTAGGGTTCATAGTTTGGGAAGATGAGGTGAATGAGAGCTATTGAGGTTAGATGTCTCATGCAATAGTGAGAATAATAGACTTGGTCTAGAGTTAGAGTCACTGTGAAGTAGCAAAGAGAAAATGATGGCATTTATACTTGCAGAATACAGATGCCATTGACGTGCTTACAACAGTTGCTGTACATTTCATCTAAAATGACGAGGTGGCTATCTCCATCCACACTGGCAGCACCTGGTGTCATGGTCTGTTGTTGGGGGTCCTGAATAAAAAAGGCAGCCTTCCTCTCAACGCAGTCCTTCAGGACTTTCAGATCATGTTGACGAACTGGGGTGCTAGCTTCCCTTTCTCCGCCATCTCCTTTCAAAAGGCAGTTGTGAAACACACTTGAAATGGTAGTTTCTGCCTTGCAACATTCCAGTTGGTGTGCACCTTGGATTTAAATGGGGCACCCATGGTGTCAAGACCAGAAGATCCTGGCAGGGCCAAGCACCTCTGCCTCTGCAAGCGCACAATTCAATGAAAAGGACACGTGAGAAAAGTCCCATGGCCCACAAAGGGAAACCCTCCATGAAACTTCCCAATGTTGACACTGAACCAGAATATGGGAAGATTTAACCATGCATCTCTGCAAACTTCAAGTGTACAACATTTCACTGGATGCTGAAACAGCAAATACATTTATTTGTTCTAGGGTGTAGGCATTATGAACCAAACCAAATGTATTGTCCAGCCCTAGTTGCCCTGTAAAGCTGATTTATGGAGAGAATTCCCTTTGAAACATTACTGTTCCTTGTTGTGAAGGGACCTACAAACTGTAACTATGTAGAAAATTTGAAGATATTGGCCCAGTGACAATTAAGGGACAACAATGCATATCCTAGTCAGGTTCATGTATACTTGTTGGGGAACTTGGAGATGATAATGTTCCTACATCATTGCTATTTTTTTTCCTGCTTCGTATTAGAAGTAACTTGAGAAGGAGCTGCTGTGAAAGTAATCTTGGTGGGTTTCTGCATGGTATTCATCATTGAGAAGAATTGCACGGAACAAATTTAGTGATTTTATTTTGTACTGATGCTAATCCCCTTGTTTCTTTTCTGTTCATTATTAGTATGAGAATCTGAGACTGACTTGTTCACTGTGATAGTTAATGCATCCTACACTTAGAATTCAGCTTTTAATTTGACTGTTTAGGGTGGTGATCAGAAGATCAAATTTCAAGATGATATAGCACGTCGATTTTTAAACGGTGTATTTTTGAATGGAGATAAAAAGAAATAACAGCTTCTTGAGATGCTGACAATTGCTGTTATTGTTCCGCAGATGACAGTTGTCAAGATCAACTTGGGACTAATTGTGTACTGGCAATTAAAGTCAATCTGTGTTCCCACTGGTATTACAGCAAAGCATGCTGCAGATCCTGTAGAACTGCTGATTCATAGTACAGATTGGCAGAATCACTGCTCCTCCCAACATGTGAATAAAAGAATGATGTGAAACTGATGGAATTAGTTTTACTGCAAGAATTGAGTGGCACCTTCCCTCAGAACCGTGTGTGTTATTGGTAGCCCGTCAAGTTGGGCGAAGAAATACTATGCTGCAAAGCCGTCAGGTTCCCTGGACGTTCAAGTGTTGCATGCTGTCCTGTATAGCATTCTGCCCATCACTGTATGGCAGAGCCATTGTACTCTATTTCAGTTATTCACTTATAAATTATTTTATTACCATGGCATCACATCTAATGCTACGGAACATGGAGACATGGTTGAATGAATATTAACTCTGCAAATTATCATGCAAGGCCATTTAGTGCAATAATAATATCATCAGTTTAATGTACTTCTATATTACATGCAAATGCTCAATTAGATAATATTTAAATTTTGGTATGTTCTTACAATGATTATATTTTTAATACACTAATTTCCAATACTTTTCCATATAATGGAGACCCAGGGAGTATGGCTGTCAGTAACATGATCATTATATCAAATATCAAAACTGCCTGTAACTCTAGGACTTATTTACACAGTTCGTTGCCTCTTCCTCAATCAGTTCAATCCTTTTGCTACCTGTTGCATTAGCCTCTCTGTCTGTTTTTGGTCCATCTTCTTCCCTGAGAGGACATCTAAAAATAGTGGGCAAGGCTGATTCCAGAATTCTAGCACCATCACAACACATGTATATTCCACACCATTTCCAACAATCATTACTGGCATGGGGTAAGGGTACAAATAGCCAGCCTAAATACGGTACATCAGTCTTCACCAGCTTCATTGTGGGGATGGACACTTCAAACTCCACCCACTAAACTCCACAATTTTGGTGGAGCTAGGCCCCTTCTCTAAGTCAGTATGGTTCACAGCCTGTCAGAAGAGTCATAAACTATGGTAGATCCTAACTTTAGGCATCAACCAAAAAATACAGCCATTCAACATTCCCATGAATTGCATTGACCCTCTTACTTTCTCATACAGCTATCAATCAATCGCGGCCATTTAAAGTAACAAGGCTAGAAATGTATCTCCATTCAACACTACTTAATCTTGTGTAAATAAGCACACAGACAATGAGTGAAAAGACTTCAAAAACAATAGGTTATTATAAGATAGTAGAAATGTTGATCAAACATAGCTTTTCCTCACGTCTGCAGTTGCCTAACTGTTCCTTACTGGCATCTAAATGGATTAGCCACGCATATGTAATGATGCCCTCTGTTCAGTCTGTTTTTGTTGCTATAGTTGCCAGATGGTCTCATTACAAATGCCTGGCCATGCTCCAGAATTACATCTTTAAGAGATTGTAAATTATGCATTTTTCTTCCCCAAGGAATCTTCTCAAAGCCTGTCCATTGTGTGATTTTTCAGGAACATTTCAAACACTTGTCAATACTTCATTGGTTCTATATATAGTGGATATTAGGAGAATGGGTATAGAGGATGCCCATGAGGACATGGAAGGGGTAAGGAAGGGGGCATGGGCAATATGAGAGGGCATGGAGTTAGCAAGGGATAGACATTCATCAGCATCTGCAGGTTTTTTTTCATTTTTATTTCAACATTCATCATTTCAACTAGGCAGATGTCCTAGTAAATGCAGGTGGACATTCCAGTCTGGTAGCTACACCATTCATCCACCTCTGTTGCCATCGAAAGCTTGCTTCAGGAGGTGGCTGTCCATCTCCAACTTGCTGTGCCTCCCAGAACAAAATTATGATAGGTGAGGACCTCCTTAAAGTGATAGACTTGTTTGGAACTGTGCCAACTCCGATTACCAATCTCCCTCACAAGAGTTAGATGTTTAGTCTCTGGGATACCAGTTAGTCCAATATTTTGCATTCTTCCTAGGCTCCTTAAATCCAAACATTGCCTTCTCAGTGAGTTTGCGGCTCAATCCAGCACAATACACCAGCTACGTGTTGTGGCATCACCTCACATTTCAGCAACTCATGAAATAATACTGCTTGAAGATATTCTCAGCTCTGATTTTTCTGAACTTTCCATGAAGAGAAATGACAGGGAGCAGTTTGGGTGGATAATTGTTTCAGTCAATATCAGTAATTACATTTGTTTACTGTTCCATGGTTAAATTGTTCCAAAGATGATATCATAACCATTTTTGTATAGGTTAAATATTTGGCACATAAAACAGCCAGTAACTTTCTCCATGCTGGTTAATTAAGGCACTTTTGGGGTTTAGTTTTACAAATGGAGGTTGTTGATAGTAGAAATCTGTGCCCAGTAAAATTTGATCAAAAATTTAAAAACTCCTATTCTCCAGTACTCTTGAATTATTGAGAGTTTCAATTTCTGGAGGAAATTTGCTCACAGAAAGGACATCGTTTGGAGCCAATTGAAACCAACTTCATTCACCTACCTGAAAATAACCAGGAGCTATTATGCTCAGTCGTAGCCAAGCTAAAAGTATCCAGGAACCTCCCACCAACAAGATTTGCTGACTAGCTGCCAATGGTAATTGTTAAACATCTATATCTCCCGCCCTAATTGTACAACCCTGCTAATTATTCTGCTAAAGCCTATTGTTCATGATTGTTCTGTGATATCCCTTCCCATGATATGATCATGGATAAACATTCAAAATAATGAAAAGATCCTGGTGTGTTGTCTGAATGTTTTTGGTTGTCTCAAATAATCCTAGTGACTGTTGTTTTATCTATAAATTGTGTTAAAATTCTGAATCTTTTAAAGAGAAAATAATATTCTTAATTAAAAATCTTGTACAGCTATGTCAGAAATTGTCTTATTGCTGAAAACATGCTTTAATGTAATATTTAATAACACGATATTTAATTCATCATTATTAATGATTGTTATGAAGATGCTTCGTATTTATGATTTTTGTGATCTTGAGATTGAAGGTATGGGGAGACCTGGACTTTTCTTAATAGGTCAATGAAAAGAATTTTTTTAAAAATGCATTTCCTGAAAGGCAGATGTCTTGTGATAAGTACTTGTTTACTCCAGAGCCCCTGTCTGGGTTTAGGACTGTCCGGTTACAGCTTCTGATTTGGAAAGTGTTTAGATTTTTCAGTTAGTGGCCAGCCAGCCTGGGAAAGAAAAGAGCTTCCTAGCTGTTTCTGAAAAAGCCCTTGTTGTGGGTACAGTGTGGTGCTGGATCCCTGGTCCAGTCTAAGCTGTGATTTCCCTCCTAAAATGCACACCGAAGAATCCTTGACACTGTTTTCTTCCCAAGCAAACGTTTGGCTCCGATTCCTAAGATATCTGCTTTGTGTTTGGTGAAATGCATGTTTGTGAGCCAGACTGTCAGACTGATAGTTGTTTAAAATTTCCGTACAGTATCCTTTATTTAAGTCTTCAATGACTAAGACTTATTGGCCAAAAGTGTTTTTTTTCCCCAGAGCGAATCTTTGTAGAGAAGTGTGCTTGGTTGTGCGTCTTGGATTATTTAAAGGGATAAATATTTATATTTTCATACCACCATATGATCAGCTATGTATGGTTATCAGTTTTGCATTGTCATTTAAATGTTTTGTTTATAATAAAATCACTCATTTTGTGTTTATTAAAGGAACCTGGTTGATGAATCTTTTTAATTAATTTATAACATAGAGAAAGCATGCAATTGGCGTATCAGGAACGAGATAAAACAATTAAATATATGTTGGGACTAGAAAAAGACAAAGCACTTTCCGACCTTGGTCATAATATAAAAGGAAGGAATCATGGAGGGATATCCAGTGCTAACGTTTAATTGGGAAATAGGGTGATATTAATTGTAAAATGATAAAAAGAAAGACACCAGGTTTCTTGTTCATTAATCTCAATGGCTTTGGTAGTTGCTAAGACTTTTCAGGAACATGTATCACTGAGTGCTTGGAAAAAGTAATCAAGGCTAAGTTAATAGAATCGCTGGACATATTGAAGTTACAGGTAAAAGCAGAAGCTGCAACCTGACAGTCATAAATTCAGGCAGCGGGGTCTGTGGGTCTGCAGTAAATAAGCAGTTATCATAAGACATGTGACAGTCAAGGAATGTCTTGTTTTAAAAAGGTTCCACTGTCCAGGCATTGAACTCTTTTTAAAAAAATACAGGTATCCATAACCTTCTAAAGTTAACTGCACAAAAATTATTACGCATGAAGCACCTTCAGAACACTCCCACCCAGGAGAACAAAATGGAAAATTTGGTAGATTGGCTTCTTTTTCTCCCGGCCTCATTTTATGGGTTAAAATATGCCCAGTAAAATTATTGCATTTTAATCTAGTACAAAGTATTCATTCTGCTCTCATGGAGTTGGGGAAACTAGGAAAAAGAATATTGAAGTAATCTATGTAAAACCAGATCTTTATGAAAAATGATAATAAATAAGTTTGTCTTTTAAACAAAATGCATATTATTTCAAATATATCTGTAACATTTGTTACCGTTTCTGCTTGTTCTGGACATAAGTAATCACAAAGAATTTGTCTGTCATGGGCTTGGAGCATTTTGGATTAGATTTAATCTAAACCATTTAGTTTAAGGCCTGGAATTTCAATACCATGGCAGGCGGTAAGCATCATTAGCAAAAGGGGTGCTAACTGCAGTCAGGTCAGCCAACCCAGGAAAGAAATTAGAGGCAATGTTAGGGGCTATTTGGAAAGCTCGCCTTGTTGCTGTGGCATTTGGTTTCAGTTAAATTAAAAACAGGCCATCTATAGCTGATCTCCTACACACTCACAACGACCTGTCTCTAGCCTCAATACCAGGCTCTACCCTACATCTCCCATGGTCCTTTTATACCAGGCTATTCCTAGCAACTCACTCCCTATGCCGAGTTATGCTTCTCATGACTTCCATTGCCCTTTATGTGAATTTATGCCATTTCCAAACCCATTGAACCATTATGCAATGTTTAGAACCAACTAGCCTTATAGTGACAGTAGAATAAGTAATAACTTTTAAAATATAACAAAATAACAGGAGCAGGCAATTCAGCCGTTTGAGCCTGCTCCATCATTTGATATGATCATGGCTGAAGTCATCTCAGTGTCAGCTCCACTTTTCTGCCTGTTCTCCATTACCCTTGAACCCACTACTAACAAAATCTATCTCCTGCTTAAATTTGCTTGATATCTCAGCATCCAATGCATTCTGGGGGAGTGAATTCCACAGATTCACAAACTTTTGAGAGAAGTAATTTCTCATCTCTGTTTTAAATCTGCTACCCCTTATCCTAAACCTATGACCTTTCATTCTAGTTTACCCACATGACCTGATCCTTTCTATATCTACTTTGTCAATCCCCTTTAGTATCTTATATCCCTCAATTCAATCTCATTCTTCTAAACTCCAGAAAGTATCAGCCTAAATTGGTCAACCTGTCTTCATAAGACAAACCCCTCATCTCTAGAATCACACGAGTGAAGCTTCTCTGAATTGTCTTCAATACAGTAGTTGCCTTTCTATTCCTCCAACCAAATTGGAGAATCTCACACATGTCCATGTTAAACTTAGATAACAAGGTGTGGAGCTGGATGAACACAGCAGGCCAGGAAGCATCAGAGGAGCAGGAAAGCTGACGTTTCGGGTCTGCACCCTTCTTCAGAAATGGGGAAGGGGAAGGGAGCTCTGAAAAAAATAGAGAGAGGGGGAGGTGATGATAGAAGGTGGATAGAGGAGCAGAGAGGTGAGGGAAGACGGACAGGTCAAGGAGGCGGGGATGAGGTTAGTAGGTAGGAAGTGGGGGTGGGAGTTGGTCAGTGAGGTGGGAGGAGCAGATAAGTGGGAGAAAAGACGGACAGGTCAAGAAGGTGGGGACGAGAAGGGCTGGTCTAGGGATGAGGCTGGGGATGGGGAGATTTTGAAGCTTGTAAAGTCCACATCAAGACCATTGGGCTGCAGGGTTCCCAAGCGGAATATGAGGTGCTGTTCCTCCAGCTTTCGGGTGACATTGTTGTGGCACTGGAGGAGGCTCAGGATGGACATTTCGTCCAAAGATGGGAGGGGGAGTTGAAGTGATTCACGACTAGAAGGTGTTGTCATTTGTCATGATCCGAGTGTAGGTGTTCCACAAAGTGCTCTCCAAGCCTTCCTTGGTTTCCCCGATGTAGAGGAGGCCACATCGGGAGCAGCAGATACAATACACCACATTAGCAGATGTGCAGTGAACATCTGTTTGATGTGGAAGGTTTTCTTGGGGCCTGGGATGGAGGTGAGGGGGGAGGTGTAGGGGCAGGTGTAACACCTCCTGCGGTTGCAGGGAAAAGTGCCGGGGGTGGTGGGGCTAGTGGGGAGTGTGGAGCGGATGATGTCCTCATTTTTCAACAACCACAATTTCCCCTCCATAGTGGTCGAAAACTCGCTCGACCGCATCTCTCGCGTTTCCCGCAACTCATCCCTCACACCCCCTCCCCACAATAACAACAAAGGCAGAATTCCCCTTGTCCTCACGTATCAGCCCATCAACGTCCGGATTCAACGCATCATCCTCCACCACTTCTGTCACCTGCAATCTGACCCCACTACCGAGGATATATTTCCCTCCCCACCCTTATCTGCCTTCCGGAGGGACCGTGCTCTCCGTGACTCCCTCGTCTGCTCCACACTCCCCACTAGCCCCACCACCCTCTGCACCTTTCCCTGCAACCACATGAAATGCTACACCTGCCCCTACACCACCCCACCTCAGCCCTATCCCAGCCCCCAAGAAAACCTTCTGCATTAAACAGATGTTCACCTGCACATCCGCTAATGTGGTCTGTTGTGTCCGCTGTTCCCAATGTGGCCTCCTCTACATCGGGGAGACCAAGCGGAGGCTCGGAGACCACTTTGTGAAGCACCTACGCTAGGTTCGCGACAAACGACAACACCTCCCAGTCGCAAACCACTTCAACTCCCCCTCCCACTCCTTGGACGACATGTCCATCCTGGGCCTCCTCCAGTGCCACAACGATGCCACCCGAAGGCTGGAGGAACAGCACCTCATATTCTGCCTGGGAACCCTGCAGCCCAATGGTCTCAGTATGGACTTTACAAGCTTCAAAATTTCCCCACCCCTGACCTCATCCCAAAACCAGCCCCTCTCGTCCCAGCCTCCTTGATCTGTCGGTCTTTTCTCCCACCTATCTGCTCCTCCCACCTCACTGAACAACCCCCCCCCCCCCCTTCCTACCTCCCAGCCTCATCCCCGCCTCTTTGACCTGTCCATCTTCCCTCCCACCTACCCGCCCCTCCCTCCTCACTGACCAACCCCCATCTAAACTCCCTACCTACACTCACCTGTTCTGGCTTCATCCCCGCCTCCTTGACCTGTCCGTCTTCACTCCACCACTCTGCTCCTCTATCCATGTTCTATCATCGCCTCCCCCTCTCTCTATTTATTTCAGAGCTCCCTTCCCCTCCCCCATTTCGGAAGAAGGGTGCAGACCCGAAACGTCAGCTTTCCTGCTCCTCTGATGCTGCCTGGCCTGCTGTGTTCATCCAGCTCCACACTTTGTTATCTCAGACTCCAGCAGCGGCAGTTCCTACTATCTCCATGTTAAACTTAGCTGCTGAATTTTGGTCCATTCACCTAACCTATCCATATCCATTTGTAAATTTATGTTTTCATTGCAAGTTACTTTCCCATCTATTTTAGTGTCGTCTGCAAACTTAGCTATGGCAATTGCTATCTCCATATCCAAGACATTAATATAGATTGTAAATATAAATCAATTGTTTCTCATTTATGTTTAAAAACTATCCTTTTACTACAGTGCAATAAAGATGTCTATCATTCAGAGCCTATAAAGCACCAATAAGGGAAATTGCAGTTGAAAGTAGAGAGCCAGAGATGTCAATCAAGAACATTTTTCCTCTGGTGCTCAATTGTTTCAACAGAGCAGTGAATTTCTGAGCTCTCAGCCAAGAATACGTGAAGAGTTTGGCCATAGTTGTAATAGCTAAGTTTCTGAAGTTCTCCAGAAAATAAAACTAGCCTAAATAAAAACCAAAAGAACTGCGGATGCTGGAAAAGTTGCTGGAAAATTTCAGCAGATCTGGCAGAATCTGTAAAGGAGAAAACAGAGTTAACGTTTCTGGTCCAATGACCCTTCCTCAGAACCGACAATGGCTGGGAAAACATCAGTTTATATGCAGAAAATAGGGAGGTGGGTGGGGTAGGGAGTAAACAATAGGATAGAGCCCAAAGAGAGAGAAAAACAGTTGGACAGACAAAGGAGTAGCTAACGATCAGGCTGGGAGGATGAATAGTTGTTAATGGGGACTGTTAGTGACTAACAACAGAGGGTGTGTAGTGGCTGGCTATGTGGTAACAAGGCCTGGTCTGTAGGGTGGGGAGCTGGGACATGGGAGAGTTTAGACCCTACAATTATTGAACTCCGTATTGAGTCCGGAGGGCTGTAGGGTGTAGGCTGTAAGTGGAAAATGAGGTGTTGTTCCTCCAGCTTGCGTTGGGCTTCACTGGAACACTGCAGCAAGCCAGAGACAATGCTCACAATGTGGTCTCCTTTACATTGGGGAAACGAAGCATAGACTAGGCGACCACTTCGCAGAACATCTACGTTTTGCTCGCAGAAAAGACCCTGAACTACCCATTGCCTGCCACTTCAATGCACCACCCTGTTCCCTGGCCAACATCCCTGTCTCTGGCTTGCTGCAGTGTTCCAGTGAAGCCCAACGCAAGCTGGAGGAACAACACCTCATTTTCCGCTTGGGGACCCTACAGCCCTCCGGACTCAATATTGAGTTCAATAACTTTAGGGCCTAAACTCTCCCATGTCCCAGCCCTCTACCCCACACACCAGGCCTTGTTACCACATAGCCTGCCATTACACACCCCCTGTTGTTAGTCACTAACAGTCCCCATTCACAACTATTCACCCTCCCAGCCTGATCGTTAGCAACTCCTTTGTCTGTCCAACTGTCTTTCTGTCTCTTTGGACTCTATCCTATCGTTTACTCCCTACCCAACCCACCTCCCTATTTTCTACATATAAACTGACGTTTTCCCAGCCAGCATCAGTTCTGAGGAATGGTCACCGGACCCGAAACGTTAACTCTGTTTTCTCCTTCACAGATGCTGCTAGACCTGCTGAGATTTTCCAATAAAATTAGCATGTTAAGTGGTAGGAAGGATCCAAATAAATACAGACATGTTGTAGTTACCTGCAAACATATTCGATGGAAGCCGATGTTTGTGTTGGCTTTAAACATGACATCAATGACACACAACCCCACCTCTGCCACAACCAATGACTCCTGGAGCAATCCTGCCAAAAATCATCTACAGCTCAACATTGGTAAAATGAAGAGCATCCTTTTCAGCCCTTGCTGGTACTTGTGTGACTTTAATCTTTCTTCTTTGTTTTCTTGACCTTTGCTAAGAATGAATGTGATGATATGCAA